ATCTACCCAAAGAACATGCCCCTTTAAAAATCCACCTACTTGGCCGGAAGTGAGCTATCACCAATTCTGCATCGCAGGAGAGTCGGTAACGTTTGATAAGTGTGCTATCAAAAAATCAGGTAAAAAGAATGAGTTTGAGGTGAGTTATGGCAGAAAAGGTTCAAGGTGATTTCTTTTTGAACGGTACTGTGTGTATGTATATATATATATATGTATGCATATATATGTATGTATATATGTATGTATATACATATATGTATGTATATATATGTATCTATATATATGTAAATATATGTATGTGTATATGTATATGTGTATATATATGCATATATATGTATGTATATATATGTATATATATGTATGTATATATGTATCTATATATATGTATGTATATGTATGTACATATATGTGTGTACACATATGTATGTGTATATGTATATATGTATATATGTATATATATATGTATGTATATATATGTATGTATATATATGTATATATAAATGTATATATATGTATGTGTATATGTATGTGTATATATGCATATATATGTATATATATGTATGTATATATGTATGTATATATGTATCTATATGTGTATGTATATGTATGTATATATATGTATATATATGTATGAATATATGTGTATGTATATATACGTATGTATATATGTATATATCACACACATATACCATTTTTGTGCAGTAGACACACCTAAGGCACCTTCCCCGTACACACTGCATATGTCCCGTGCGGCTTCGGCTGACCTCGATGAAAAGCAAAGAAAAGCATATGTCGAAAATGCTGATTTTTTCTTCCTGAATATTCCGTTTCTGAGCCGGAAAAGAGACGAATAATTAAATTATTTAAAAACATATAAAACCAATTTTTAGAGGAGAAAGAGTTTTTTTGAATGAATCTATGTACTTTGCTAAAAAACAAAACAAATCGGAGTCAAATAAGTCTAACGCAAAACTCGACGAACTTATTGTACAATCCAGTAGTAAGAATACCACACATACCATACATGCATACCATACATACACACGATACATAAATACCATGCATGCGTACCATGCATATCATACATACCATACACGCATTCCATACATGCATACCTTACATACATATCATACATACCATATATACATACCATACATACATACATAAATGCAATAAATACATACAATACATAAATATTCATATTGTATTAGGTTGAAAAGAAAGTACTGCGACACAATAAAGATCTTCTTCAAATCATTTCTGAAATTTTCCAGACCAATCAATTTTGGGAAATATATTTACTAAAGAGGTCAACAACCTTCTATTATCCTTGAGTAAATCACTGATGCGTTTTATCCAGGAGTGAGGAAGCTGTGACTCAAAGAAGTAATTGACTGCCGTTTTCAGATCACATTAAGTTACGATTTTTTTCCACACCGGTATTCTCAAGAAGGCGGAGCGCATGGTAAGTAAAAGGGGCAACACTTAGGGAATACGACTGAGGAACAACCTGGAACCATTTGGAATCGTAGAACTTTTGACGCGTGTTTAAAGCGAAATTTCGACGTGCGTTGACCCTCTGTAGGGACCTGATTACGGTTTTGATCGTTCTTCTCTAACCCCGCTCACCAAATTTCGGGGTTCATAGGGGTAACCGATAGCTGTGTCCATCTAGTCTGCGTTTAGCAACTCATAGTGGATGGATCCCTCCAACCTCCATTGAATCAAGGGACGATGCATGCGTGACTTCGAAGGCTAGTATCTCCTCCAGTGAAGCGATCCAACCGATTGTTGACCGTTGATCGGAGAGCAGTGTCAGCATTGAATAGGTTGCTGATAATTTGAGCCGCTACACCCGCGTTTTTCCCTTGGCGTGCTTAGTAGAAGGTAAGGTACGAATCGGCTGTTGTCCATTCATTGACCGTAAAGCTGCTGAACCCCACCGCGTGCCCTTATTTACTCATGTGTTGATAACCTGAGGAATGTCCTACATGTTTATCACTCTTGCTACCGTGTTCGCACTGTTGATACAAATTGTTGACGCTTCAATTTTTTTGTCACAAGACTTTCCTTCCAACCTAATATTATTATTGACGTATTGGTATTTGACGTCACTTTCATTCCAATCCTTCTTCAAAGGCGACTTTAGCGAAATGATCTTTCTGCGGCGATTGGGGCAGGCATTCGCTCGAACACTGATCACACCGAGTAGTCTAATGGGTCGAAATCGGGGGAGAGGGACGGCCATTTATTTGCAGGGATGAAGGCCGACAGCCTGGTCGCGCTTTAGGCCTGGGTCTTCTCCAACTTGTGCGCAGGCGCAGTCTCGCTGGAAGACCCAGTGCTGGGTTTTGAAGTGAGCCTGGCTCCAAGGCAGTAGTTTCTTCTCCAGATGTGCTCGATGTAGTGGTCCATGTCGATCTCCCCCTGGAATCGGCCTGCTGAGAGGATGAGGCGATCATCCGCGTATTTTGGGCATTCGCCGCTGCCTTCATGGTGAACAGCTCCTCGTCGGAAGAGACGGTCACCAGGAGCTCCTCAGCAGCGATGCGCGCAAGCATGGCATCTTACGAGTCGCACGGCCTCATTCTTCTCCGCAAGGCCATTTCATCTTCTGATCTTGTAAGAATACGACCCAAGGTGGTCGTGTACCAAGCTTCCAGTGGATTGTCGCGAAATCTTGAGCTCCTCGGCCATTTTCGCATGCTGCGTCGAGGATTTCTATCATTGCGCTTCTTTACACATGCACGCCGATGGCAGCCCATGTGGGCTGCCAACAGCAAATGCTCCTGGGACGGTAATTTTGTCTTTCGCACATAATCTTTTGAAATACTCTTGAAATCAATGAAATAGTAAAGGGTTAGCCTACACCCAGTTTCCGTCGGCAAGGAAAACATAAGAAGGCCATTCTTATTACTTACTTCATTCAAGCATTCAGCAACCGCAGTTTCTCTCGTTGAAACATGGCAAACAAATTTTTCGCAAACAGCACTTACAAGGGAAGGATACTAGGTCGCAGTGGCCATTCAACATGAGATGTATACCCCCATAGGTGGTTTCGGGCGCTGATCTCAAATCTGTGTTCCAAATCTGCTAAACGATTCTGGGAACAAAGTTAGGGGACCGATGCCTCCCTGTGTTATACCACACTAACGAACGGATCACCGAGCCGAGCAGAGAC